CTGTAATTAGCCAGAGAAAATAGCAGTGTTTATTCTTAGGTGGAATCACACCTTAGGAGCCTGGAAATGCCAAATACTCCTTCCAAATTTTAAGGATACCATCCACCTGTGTGTATGTTCAGAGGCCCTCACTTTAGACTTACATAGAGTGAAGGAAAAATTTACCTCTAACACTTAACTGTGATGTCACACTTTCCTTTTGATGAAATATAAAGAAATGGTGGAGTAAATTCCCTATTCTCTTCCTTTATTTAAAAGTTTTTTATTTTCATTTACGTACCAAACAGTTTACCCTCTGTCCCCTCCTCCCTCCCCCCAACACTGTTTTCCTCCCACCCTTTACCCTCATCCACTCCTCAGAAAGGGTAAGGCCTCCTCCAATGAGGAGTCAACAAAGTCAAGTATATCAAATTGAGGCAGGACCAACCCCCTCCCTTCTGTATCATAGCTGAGCAAGGTGTTCCTCCCTAGGGAATGATCTCCAAAAGCCAGTTCATGAACTAAGGATAAATCCTGGTTCCACTGCTAGTGGCCCCACAAACTGGACAAGCCACAGAAATGACCCACAGTCAGAGGGCCTAGTTGGATCCTATGCAGGTACCTCAGCTGTCAGTCCAGCCAGAGAGCTCCCACTTGCTCTGGTCAGCTGTCTCTGTGGGTTTCCTAACCACAGGTTCTATGGGTATTTACCTCAATTTATCTCAATAAGATATTTTTTGCTCATTTGTTTGATTTTTCTATTTTCAATTTTATGTTTGAGATTATAATATTATTAAAGTATTTCTCGTTTTACTTTCCTCCTCTGAACCCTTCCTACCTTACACCATTCATGCTCTTCAAATTTATGTTTTTATTGAGTAATTGAATTGCATACATATATGTATATAAACATAAATATACATATATTCCTAAATAGAAACTGTTCTATCATATTATTAATTGGGTGTATATATTCCGGGCTGACCGCTTAACACTGGAGAGCCATTTACTGTTCTTTTCCCTGGAAATGACTCTCCCACTAACAGCTTTACACATTGCTTATTATTTTTTGTGTAGGGTCGAGAATTTATGGAACTTTTCCTATCTGCCTTGGGATTCCATTAATGCCTGTTTAGTCAGTTCACATTTGGAGAGTCATGGTGATGAGACTTTTGTATGTTGCTTCTGATATTGCTAGCAATCATGACCTCACAGCAAATGCACTGAGTGTTTGACTCTTGCAGTCTCTCAAACTTCTCTTTGGCATATTTCCTGAGCCAAAGGTATGAGAGTGTTTGGCAGATGTACTCAATATGACTGGGCTCCAAAGCTTAGCCTTCAATTGGTGTGGGTTTCAGAAACAAAAAATTTAATGTTGTAGGCATGTGTTTTTATACTCACACAGAGGATAAAGATTGAATCATTTTTATGCATCCACCCATACCCCAAACACAAAATTATTTTTAAATCTTATTACCTTCACATAGTTATAATTTTGGATTTATGCCACATTTGCTATCTAAAATTATTGTAACAGTGTGAACATGCACAAGTCATGAATATGGCATTGGTCCCCTTGCTGACACTATTTTAGAAAGAACGTTAGGTCATTCGCAAAGGTCACGAATCATCATCTTGTAATTTTCTACAGCAGTGTTGGGAAGTGAGGAGGAACTTCAAAATTTACAAACAAAACAGTATTCCCACTTTCAATTTTTATAAGAAAGCCTAATTACATATTAAGAATGAGAGCAATACAAAAAATGCATCTGTAGGGAAGGGAGCTTTAAGGCATAAGAGTCTTATGTACTCCATCAAAAGTTAACAGAAGACATCTTCAATTAAAATGAAGAAATGAACCTCCAAAGAAGAAATGGGCACCATGGAAGAGAATCCCATGAAACAAGGCAGTGGGAACATTTCCCAGTGCACTGTTGGCAGCACACACACTTTAAACAGGTTGTCTGCTATGTTATAAAGAAAAATATATTGGGTTATAGGACCAAGGAAAATGAAACTGCTATAGTATCTAAAGAGTTGCATACATAGACAGATGGATAATCTAGATATTTCAGACCCTGTGGTTATGACACACATGGAGGAAGCTATGTGGAAAACAATACAATTATCAATTTCGAAAAAAAGGATCTATAAAAAATGAAATTAAATTAGGTATTTTTCTGGCTTCCTTTGTTTTCCCAACTCTTTGTAAATTGACCTAATTCTGACCTACTTTTCCTCTGAACATTGCTCTTCTGTGAATACAAATTTGTTCCCTTATGACATACATAAACCTTTATATTCAAACCCCTGATCAACTAGGGGTGGTAATACCACACTCAGAACATGTGTATAAGTTAATAAGACACTTGGAGAATATTTTCATTGCTACAATAATTTTATAAAATGAATATAACATAAAATGATAATTTAAATCTGTGCAGGCAATAAGATATCAAAAATATTTTTGTGTTTGGGGTATGAAGAGAAGATTTAGTCTTTAGCTTCTGTGTGAGCATCAGAACATATACCTACACCATTAATTACCTCATTTAGATTACTTTAGGTAAATACACAAAGAATCTCTCTCTTTTCTGTTCTTATCATTGGGATATGTGTGTGTGTGTGTGTGTGTGTGTGTTGTTGTTGTTGTTGTATGCAGATGTACATGACATATGCTCAAATCAGAAGTGGGTATTAAGTGTCTCTCTATATGATTTTGTCCTTTATTGCCTTGAGAGAAAGTCTTTCACTGAACTGAGAGTTTGCTGTTTAGGCTATAATGACCAGAGAGTTCTTGAAACCCACTAGTCTCCACCCATCAATGTTGGGGCTGCAGGTACATGCATGTATGTCTAGATGATTTTATTTGGGTACTTAGGATTGGAACTCAGGTCCTTATCTTTGCATAGCACATACTTTTACCCACACAGTCATCCCCCAAGTTTCCAACAAATCTGTTTAAAGAGTTAATGATTACTTTTCTATAAAAAGAAAGATAAAGATAGGCCTAGAGGCTATTTTCCTATACTAAACTTGAAAATAAATTAACCCTTATGTATTAACTAAGGAAATAAAATAAATTATTCTCATATGTTAACTTGTATATTTTTATATGATTAATTTAAATAAATTTTAAAGCAGAGAAATTTAACCTATACAACAAAATGTTTCATTTACATAATTATCAGCTAATTACAAAACTTGGGGCCAGATAATTGAATGTTTGTAGAATATTATGTAAAGAATATTAGGGGAAAGAACATAGAGTAAGAAAATATGATTTTTAAAATTTGACCTGACCGTGCTACTTATAGCACCTAAAATGTCTTCCATGGCATTTGATAACTTGGATATCTTGATGAACAAATGGTAGAATATTGCCCACTCCTAGATTATCTTGGAGTAAATAATATCTTGTACTTGGTAAGAAGTTAAGAGTTAACTGTTCCCAGATCTAGCTCTGGTACATCAGTGCCTCTCTGTGAATCTTCCATTTGCTCTGCATAGGCTTTAGAAATTTGGTGAGGAAGTGAGTAATTGAACCTAATAATAAAATTCCTTGACTTTATGGTGACTGCAATCAGACATTGAAAAGGGACTGGATAGTGGTTAAGCAAGGAATCTTCTCTTTCAATAAAACATTGGCAGAATCATCAAAATTAGCTTTTAGAATCCTAAATATAAAGCACATGCTCGTAACAGTCTGAGAAGTGTTTATTCAAGAAAATTGATGGAATTCTTTAACACCAGAATGTATTTAAACTTGGTTTCATGCCCAGGTTTATAGTAGTCTGAAATGCACCATTGCAGCAGCTTCTATGAAAACAGGCAGCGCTGGTCGCTCTTTAGATAGAATATCCAGAGAGGGTTGTCACTGTGTGGCCTCTCCATACTGTCATGACAGAAGATAATAATTCCTTGCCCTAGACCATATTTGGGGAAAGTCATGGTTCTCTGGACATCTGTTGAAAACAATCAGAAGCTGGATTTGCTCTCTATTGTTCCCAACTGCAAGTAAGAGTCTGTTCAGTATACTAAACAAACCTGAGGTATGAGAAGCTTATGAAACTTGGAAAAGCTCTCCTATGTTCTGACAACTGTGGAAGTTATACACGGCTGAGGGCTATGTGTACACCCAGAGGAGACTGAAGAGAAGACTGTTCTGACGGAGTCTGGGCCCTGTGCTAGGAACAGAAAGGTAAGATAGAGAGTAATATCTTCCTGAGCGTAGAAGCTGTTCCTCAAAGAAAATGAAACTCCCTGACTGAGTACATAATTACAGGCTCAAGAAACTCAAGAAACCACTCTCCAACCATTCTGACCTTAAAGCTCACAGAAAAAAGAAAAATCAGTGACTAGAAATCACTGTAAATTGCTGACCAACAAAGAATAAAATCTAAAAGCAATAAAAACTGTGAATTGGAGGTAAAGGCGTGTTTGAGATTGTAGGTGTACCATGACACATTGTCTAGATATATATATCACCATAGCTTATGTAATGCTTCCAATTTTCAACAAAGTTTTAGAAGACATGCAGAGACAGAAAAATATTCTGAGGAAAAGAACAGAAGAATTTCTCTAAAGTGATTCATATGTGACTATCTTCATCATGTGACTAACTTCATCATGTGACTATCCTCATCAGACAGTCAGTAATCAGCTACTAATTCTAGGTTAAAATATTGACTCTGCCTTCTCCTTTCCTTCTTGCCTGTACGAAGTCCGAGATCAACCAGGATTGGTTGCATTTGGTCTTTCTAGGGCATGAAAATAGACCTCCACAATATGCAGTCTTTATATTCACTAGAATACATTTTTATATATGACACAGTATTTATGTTCAAAGGACATCATACCAACTTTGAGAGTTTTCACTAAGTGCAGGAATGTGCATCTGTGCACATACAAAAAAAAAACCTGTTTTTTTTTTTTTTTACAATAATGAAAAGCACAGAATGACTTGGACATATTTTAGGTAGGCATCCATCAGCCTCTATAATATTCTTCTCTTTTTCCAGGGCCTCCAGTTAATGTAACATGCAACATATTCATAAACAGCTTTGGCTCCATTGCAGAAACAACTATGGTAAGTCTCTCTACTTTGTAACAAGTTTCACACCTGATTAATTTGTAATTACATTAGTGGGAATTGACAGCTTAATTTGATATGAGATTTTAATAAATGAACTTAGTGGAATGACTAAATTACTATCAACTATAGATAATAATGTCTATCTAGGAACTATTAAAGAACAAAAAAAGCATTAAAAACAAGATTGGATTTTTCTAATTCAACACTATAGTGTTAGAGTTCCATTTAAAATTAAAACTCTACCAGATTATTTATTTCCAGTACTCAACAAAGCCACCATATGCATAATAGTATATACCTTGATATTTCATTATTCTCCATGCTTATGGTCTACATGTACCGTACTCTTGTGTATCCTACTAAATTCCCTTCTCAAGTGAATAAAGCACTTTCCCAAACATAAGAAAGATTTATAATAAGTGATAGTCCTACAGGTACAGGTTTCTCATCCCAACTACTCAGGAGTCTGAGGCAGGAAGATTACGGGTTCATTTGCAGTGTGGGCTGCAGAGTAGATGGCAGGCTAGCCTAGGAAATTTAGATGCTATCAAACTGAAAAAGTGGAGGGAAAACGGTGAATTTGGGAGCTGTGGCTTCATACCAGGTGCTTCCCCAGAAGTGGAGCCTTAGGTTTAGACCTCAGTATTATAATCAAAAGAAACTCAAAGCTAAAATAATCTACACAAACTATAATTATTGTGCATTTTCATCTAACAATGCTGTCTTACTGAGGGAACTACATACAATTAGGTTAATAAGGCACGAGAAAATAAAGCTGAGCATTATAGATATACCAACTTTGTTTTTAATAATAATTAAATATTATGTTGTACATTCTTGTATGATCTGTCATACTAACCGATAAATTTAGCTGACATAAAAAAGGCAAAAATATGCTATTGAACCACTAAATATCTGTAAAATGATCTAGCAGCCAACATTTAAAACAAAGTGTGATGGTTCTTATTATACTGTATTTCTAAACTTAACAAGGATAATTTGCATTACTATCCCGGGTAGACTTAACTAAACTATCATATAAAATACTTGAAAAATTAATATTCCCAAATCTGTCATAAGAAAATGACAATCATTTGCATATTTCAAACTTAGATAATAATGAAATTTCTTATGAAATAAAGCACAAATTTGCTAATTTAATGGGGAAATTATTTTCGCTGTCAATTGTTTTGGATTTAAAAAGAATGGAAATGAATTCATCTCAACACAGATAATCTTTCAGGCACCATTTCCATCAAATTGCTGCACTATTTATCATCAAGTCGTATCTCCGTGGTCCCCCCCAAATGCAGTAGTTAGAGGAAAAAGCATTGACTAAGAATAATAGGGCTCAAACTTCAATGGATGATGAAGATTTGTAGAATGATCTTTAACACAGCATATAAATACATAAGAATGTGTTTTAAAGCAAGCACAGGAAATGATACAATTTCTTATAGAAGCAAAGTGTGATGCTGTCAAGAATCTACCTTTAAAGTAGCTGTAATTGGTTCAGACTAGCATCTTCTGGAGTCATAATGGGTAGCTAGTTCATCTCCTGTATATGTGTATGCTCCATCTAAATCATCAAAAGAAAATAACAACAGGCTTTTTTTTCTGTGTAATTCTGTTTATATTTGTGTCCCCTGGCAGCTCTCCCGTTTTAATTTATTCTATACACGAACTACAATCCTAAAATCTTGGAAATACATTTCCTTTTATTTCTCCTGTGCAAGATTGCTTCCAGAAAATACCTTCCATAACAACAGTTGGAAAAAATTGCTGTCTTAGTGAAGGAAGGCAACAGGGCTTGACTGAAATAGAGGAACTCTGATTTTCAGGTTCCTGAAGGATTCTGTTATTTATGAAGCAATTCTCTAGCCTGCCACTAAACTGTCCATCATAGCTACAATATGAATCTGCTGACTAAATTTGTTAACATTTTGCATTGTGAAATACAGTAAACATACAGATATAACAAACATTATGTCCTTCTTGCAGTATAGCAAAAATTTGAAGTTTAAAGGCAGTTTTAGCAAATGTCTCTCTCTTTTGACAGTCATGAGTAAGTATAAGTAAAGATTAATAAAGACCCCAGAGATTAATTGCTCATTAAAACTTCACATTGGTGTCTTTCTTTTTTATTCTTCCATCTTACTAAATATATGATACTATTATTCTCATCCAAATGCTTTGATTAGATATTTTAAACGTTTCATACTATTGGCTACTACAGTTGAAATATGGTTTCCATCTCTCAAAGTAATAGAGGGGAGTAAAACTTGCTACCATATTTTGATCAGAAGTATCAGAAATTATTTTGCTTCTAGTTGATTAAATTGCTATATTTTATTCATACTGTCCACCATCATTACTCTCCAAATAAATTGCATGCTACTGTTTAGTAACTGTATTTGTTTAAAATTTTTTTTAACAAATTTTATGCTAATATATGTTAACATGTTTTACATTAATTTTATGCTAATAGCATGTTAATATTTTGTGTGAAGTTTTACTCTTTTGGCTTTTGCGGGGGCACCCCCCCCAGCTTCCAAAAAAATCACAGGTGGAGACTTATTCTTAATTATTAATACCTGCCTTAGCTTTGCTTGTTTCTTTCCAGCTTTTCTAACCTAAATTATTCTAACTACTTTTTGCCTCTGGGCTTTTCCCTTTTCTGACTTCTGTATATTTCACTTTCACTCTTCCTCCATGGCTGGCTGGGTGGCTGGGTAGCTGGCCCATGACATCTTCCTCCAAATCTTCTCTTGTTGCTTGCTACTTCTCTTCTTCTAGATTTCTCCTTCTATTTATACTCTCTGCCTGCCAGCCCTACCTATTCTTGCTCCTGCCTCACTATTGGCCATTCAGCTCTTTATTAGGACCATCAGGTGTTTTAGATCAGCAAAGAATCACAGCTTTACAGAGTTAAACAAGTGCAGCATAAACGAAAGTCACACACCTCAAAATAATATCCCAACATAATATTTTTATTGCATTTTATTTATTTGTTTTTATTGTGTGTGTGCATGTGTGTATTTGCACACACATGTACATGCACCCCACAGTGCACATGTAGAAGTGAGAGGACAATTTATGGATTTTGGATTTTTTTTCCTTCCAACCTGCGACTTGTGAGGACTGAGCTTTGGTTGTTAGAGTTAGAGGTTGCTGCCTTTATGCATCAAGCTAGCTTTCCAGACTCATATTTTTAAATATATTCACATTATTCCAGTTCTGTATGTATATGTGTGTATATATATATATATATATATATATATATATATATACTAATTAAACTATGATTGCCCACTAGATTAAAAGAATATAACAAAGATATTAAAAATATTTTTAGGCAATCTTTCAATAGCTACCTCTCCAGTACCATGTCTGCCCACATGTCCCCACCACGTTGATAATGGACTGAACCTTTGAAACTGTAAGCGAGCCATCCCAATGAAACGTTTTCTTTACATGAGTTGCCTTGGTCATGATGTCTCTTCACAGTAATAGAAACCCTAAGACACCATGTATTTTAAGTTTATTCCTAAATATTTATATGTATTTACTAAAGATTAAAATCTTTAATAAACTTGTAGCTATTAGCACAAGTCTAATAGCTCTTAAAAATAAAAACTCAGAGTTGATATTGGAGAAAATACAGAGATCAGAGAGACAAAGAAGCAAAACCACAGCCACCTTACCTACTCAACTTCCCAGCTGTAAAGAGAGTGAGTTCCTGTCTCCTCCCACCTTATCACTTCTCTCTCACTCCCTGTCTGTACAGACTCCAGACCTCTATGATTAGCTAGTGACTAGCTCCACCCTCTGATCTTCAGGCATGCTTTATTTGTGCAAACAAGATAACACCACAGTAAACCTTTTTTTTATTTTAGGGTAGTTAATAACTAATGAACATTTGTAAAGGTACTCGTGTGTTTGCACGTGTGTGTGTATGTGTGTGTGTATACTAAAGCTACATTAAGAGCTCATCTCATTCTATTGAAAATTGTTATCATTAAAAAATTATATAAAGTAAAAAACTCCTAGTGAGGATAATAAAGGAAATGAGACCTCTTATACATAGCTGTGGGGAATGCAAATTAGTACAGGCAAAATCAGTAGGTAGTTACTCACAAAACTAAAACAGGAACTCCCTTGTGACTAAGCTATACCACTTCTGCATCTATAACAGAACTCAAGGTCACCATATCACAGATGTGAGTACATATCAGTGTTCACTACAGTGCTGTACACAAATAATAAGTTAGTGAATGACCTTAGAGATTTAGCTACAGATATATAGTGGCCGTGTGGTATATATCTGTAAGCAGATTCATTCACCTGCAAATAAAAAACTGAAATTATGTTCTTTCTGAAAAATGGATACAACTTGATATTATTATATTAAGTGTAATAAATCATATTCAGTAAAAAATAATGTATATATTCTGTTATTTGAGGATTCTTTATTTTATATAAGTATCCCATATTTACATGTATACAAACATATATATGAGAAATTATCCAAGGGAATTGCATGGGTCAACAGAAAAAGGAAGATTAAGAAAATGGAGAGGTATTAATTTGGTTGAAGTCTATGATAACTTTGTAAGAAGATATCTATATAAACCATGGCTAGGTAATGTATATCTATGTAATAAAATATTGTATACATGTGTCTGAAAGTTACCCTTAAAAGAATATCAATTTACATTTCCTGTAAGTGACCTTTGTCAGACCAAAAATGTTTTTATTGCTTTTTAAGTCTCCTTTTAAAATTTTATTGTGTGTGTGTTTGTGTTTGCACATGCATGTGTATGTGTGTGTGATTTTGTGTGTGTGTGTGTATGTGTGTGTGTGTGTGTGTGTGTGTGTGTGTGTGTGTGTGTAAATACATGGCATGACACTTATGTGGAGGTCAGAGAACCACTAACAAGCAGTTTCCCTCTTTCCACCCAACTGGGGATCAAAGTCAGTTTTTCATGTCTGGC